TTCGGCGTCAACGCTCGACTCGCTTGGGGTAGTAAGTTTTGAGGATCACTCATACCCACCACTGGTTTATTTTCGGGGAAACTTTCCCTTAGCGTTTTATATGCTACCGCCAGCAGAAATGGAATTGGAAGAAAGGTGAGAAGGGTATTTTGTGTGTATGTGTGGTGTGTGTGTGTTGTGTGTCAGGACAAAAAATTCCTATTTTCAGCGTAGTGGTGGGGGAGCAGAGAGTATTATGGGTAGGCGGTAGGCCCGCCATTATTGCCCATCATGGTGAATGCATGGGGAATAGCGACTTTTGCAAACTAATAAACCAAAATATAAAGTCAGCCTTCCAAATGTGCTGCCATCTGACGATAGTTCTGAATGAATACTCGAAAGTGACCTCTCGGTTCCACGTTCGGCAATTTGTGCTCCAAATGTTTGACCAGATTTTGAAGAAAAATGCCTAATTTTTGGCGTTGTTCGCTTTAAGTATTTCGTGAGATTCACAAAGGAAATCAATATTGAAATCTCCATGTACAACAATGGATTTAGAAGAGGGAAAACTAATTTTGATCAGTTTCTCTAGATTTTTCTAAGAAAATGAAATAATCTTAAGTTCACTTTGATGGAGGTCTGTAATGAAAAGTATGGTAATTTTGAGCATAGTAAGATGTACAATTGTTATTTCAAAAACTTTTTCAACAGCATATAAATTGAATTCCGGCAGGAAGGTAGAATCAATATAGTTTCTTACGTAAATATACGAGCCTACGAACGCAACGCCCTTATTTGATTCCCTCCTACAATACGATCCTGCAAAGTAAAAACTAGGAATTTGGAGGGTGTTTAAATCATTAAGTCAACCAATGTCAAAACATGTGCAAGAAACCAATGCAAAAAACCTATTTGATCTAGATCACACTAAAGCGGCCTCGATAAATTCAATTTTATTTGAGAGTGCACATTGTGATTCATTATTTGAATATTTTGCACGTACTTACACGGATGTTTCTCTGC